CTGCGCAATCAGGAAGGCGATCACTTCTTCTGACAGAAAAAGAAAACAGCGGATGCAACGTTCAATAACCAGAAACTGTATACGCTCTCCCCTTCCAATTCCCAGTTCCTTCACCCTAATCCAAAATCCATTATCAACCAGGCAGATAGAGAAGAAACGAACGAACGAACGAAGGTAGCCTCTTTGCAATTCCCCTCCGGCGCTCCGTATTCGCAATCAAGCGCTGTATCGTTGAGGTTGGCGCGTGTAGCCTCTCTCTGCCGATCTTGGAGACTCGTACCTGTCCTCGGCAACATCCTCGTGAAAGCACCTTCGCCCGGCTACGCTCTCTCTCTCTCTCTCTCTTTCTCTCTCTGTCTCTCTACTGGTACCAGGCTGCCTCTTTCTTTCTTCGCAGCCGACTGGTAGGGATCTCTACTTAGACTTATTACGGGTTTTGGAAACAGGTCGGCCTTTTTCCATCGAGACGATACACTCCTAAGAGACGCCTGACCAGAGAGTCAAGCGTTCGCGAATGGCGGTCGGTGCCGAAGAGAGAGAGAGAGAGAGAGAGAGAGAGAAAGAGAGAGACAAGGTCTCGTATTCGGGACGCGAGCGCGTATATTTCTTTGCGGGCCAATTCTTTCTTTCGAACGATTCGTCGCTCGACCGAGATCGGCCGCCGATCTGCAATTTGTCTCGCGGTGAACCTGATCGTTCGGAATAACGCCGGAGCTGTTTGAAACAGCGAGGACGTCGGGAACGACGGCTGGCTTTCTAACGAGCGTCGCGGTTTAACTCGAAACTTCGCGGTAGCGAGCTTCTTCGAGAACCGTTAAGGTTAAGGTGTCCTGTTGTTAACGCGGAGGACGGAGTTAGGTTTTATGCCAAAGTAAAATTAATACCGAAGGATATTGCTATACGACGCTTTGTGCAAGAAGATCCGTGTTTACGGCAGTTTTTGTTTAACGTGGGTTTAGTTGATTGGACGAAGCTTGATGCTCGAAGTTCGCCCAGCTTCTTCGGCAACCGTTGAAGTATGTTAAAGTATGTTATTAACGCCGGAACGGTGCAATTACGTATAAAATAAACAAACAAAAAAAAACCAAGAATATCGTCGTGAGTGTCCTTATAGTGCTCGCAGAACGTAATGATTCCTCTCGCGTAAGAAGATTCGTGTGTACGAGGATTTTTTTTTTTTTTGTTGGTTAATGAATGTTGTCAGTCGAATGTTAGATGAAGTTTGGTGCTCGAACCTTGCTGCACAATCAGTGAGATTCTGAGTGAAGTTAAGATATCCTGTTGTTAACGTCAGGGAAACACAATTATGATTTATTTCAAAATAAAAAGTAAAGATTGTGAAAAATACTGTTGCGATCGCGTCTCTGCAATGTGTAAGCACTACACTAAAGAAGATTCGTGTATATGAGTATTTTTTTTTTTTTTTTGAGGTTGAAGAAGATTCAATTGAACAGAATCAGTAATTCTTTTTACTGCTAATAAATCAAACTATCCATCAATAGAAGTTTGAGCCGAGAGCCAGATTTTTCCAAGTGAGTAGAACAAATCACGGAATTTTTATTTACGAAACAAGGAATAAAGCAAGGAATAAGTAAAGATTAAGTAGAGTAAATAGAAAGTCAATTAGGATAGAAATAAAGGAGAAAGGGAAATGTCACGTTTTTACTTCTGCGGAAATTTTATTGAAACTAATAAAACGAACTGGAATGACGATTCGAGGTTTATGATCTTCTAACGAGAGATTTGTTGGAAAATATATGCCCTTGGCGACGAGTTTACAATGTGCAAGACAGTAATTGATAAACGCAGATCCTCGATGCACTTTGTAGGGTTGGGTTAATTGAAAATTAATTAAATTATTATTTACATTAGGACTGTGCTCTGTATCGAAGGATTTTAAATTCAAATTTAATAAATTCACACGTCACTGTACATGATATTTCATTGTTTGTTACTACAGAATATATTTACATTAATGTATGTACCTCCTTCCAAACAGACATTTATGTTGTAACATCAACTTAGTGGATAGAAGAATCCTATTATTGATTTTCTATAGTGAAAAGAGGAATTGAGAAGGGAAAACAGACGTGACAAAATAGAACATGTTGAGAAGGTTATATAGTAAAAGCACAAATTATTCGAGACGGTCTTCAATCGATGGCCTGGGGAAATAAACGTTTCTCTCCTCACATTTTTGATATTAACGATGTCATTATATTTTCAGTTTAATAACAAAAAATACACTTTTTTTTTTACCACGTTTTTAAACATTCGAACTATCGTCCCCATTCTAGTCTTGAACGTGTTTCAATGTGCATGTAATATACTTTAGTAATTAATAAAATTTATTACCATCGATTTTACTGGAAGCTTGTAAAATGTTGAAAATTCAATGATAACTCTGATTCTCTCCGACGATCGTTTATTTAAAAAAAAGAAAAAAGATATTCCGAGATAAGTTTATTCAACAACGAATATCAACACGAGTTCAGGGTGAATGTTCTTGTCCGATCGTGACGGTCTACAACTGAAATTATCACGTCTCCATCACGATGCTGACTAACTGTAGAGTGCTAACAGCTCGTTCTCAGATACCGATGTACTGACAATCAGTAGAATGAGCCGGTTTACTGTTCCTTCGATCGTTCTTAATCAGTGGCGTCACGCAATTCAAACGTGGCATCGTTATTATATTTATGACCATAAATACCACCCACATGCTTGTTGCCGGTCGGTTCATTTAACCGGTTAGTATGTATTTGCCAGTTTAGCCGTGAGAAGAAAGGCTATCATTCCCTTTTCTTCCGAGATCAGGGATTCAATTAAATAGGAACGCCCCGTCGATCTTCCTGGAGTTAACAGCCTATATTCCGTGCTTTGAATCATGCACGTACACGTTCGACATTCTAAAATGAAAACTAAATTTCATTCATTCCGCGGGATAAATTCGCGGGATCGAAATCAGCGTAATTGATCAGTCAGTAAATTAGAACAACTGTTCTTAGTTTCCTTTAGAATTGAGAAATGACGTTGTGCAGAATTTGATGATTTTTACAGAGCCGTATATTTCATACATTTAACCTTCGTTTCAGTTAAACGATATTTATAATTTTATCTTTAATATGTAATTAATTTATAATTTGTAATTTTAGTACATGATAATGATGAATATCACAGTTTGTAATTTATTAGTATTTAAGCTTTCCAATATTTATAACTCTCAAAGAATATGGGACTGTTCTGTGACTGACGCAATGTGATGTTTCGCCATTAATAATTCCCTCTGGACACAATAATCAGACTGCGAATATTTATGTAAAGTTTTGTGACTGGGTATTCTATTTAATCCAATACGATACTTCGTCTTTAGTAATTCTCTCTGACGTGATAATTTCACTGCAGATATTCGTGCAAATTTGTATATTTACAAACGTAGATATTCTAAAACAAAAAAAAAAAATTCAAATATCGTATAAGAAATGTTATATTTTTGCAAATTATATTTTTAGAAAATGAAACTTCAGCAGCAAGTTGATTTACCTATTAAATATTACACAGACTATCATACTTTAAAATACAGTGCCAGAAAAAAAAAATGAACGTGTGCTGATTTACTGTTTTGATGAATTCAACATGAAAATTAGGAACGCGGAATGTTAGTGCTGTTTGACTTTAAAAATTACCGACTACACGAAGATAAAACTTACCAGATCCATCAGTTAATCAAGAAAATGAGCCAATTAAGAATTAAGACCAATTAATTATGAGGAATATCACTTGAGATTCGATATCATCAGATTAAAAATTCAACAGACTCCGTATCTGATGGAATTCAGGAATTGAATAAAATCAAGCCACCAAAGATTAAATGGAGATTGAATATTTTTTCTACTTCTCGTAAATACTTTTCTCATAATAAATGATAGCTTTAAAATAGAACGGATGCTCATTTTATTCTTACATATGTGGCACTCTCATAATTTTATATAAATTTATTAATATATTATTAATAAATTATTTATTAATTATTATTATATTGATAACATATCAATAAATATATTATTATTAATTATGAATTTTTTACAATAGAATTATAAATAATTTTTGCAAATTATATAGATATATAGGTAAGAATTCGATGTGCCAGTTTAGTAATAATATCTCTCGGAATCACGCGATTACGAACGAACGTCGCATCACTCGCAGTGATCTATCGTTTCGTGAAACGGGGAGAATCGTGGCTCGAAAGGGGAATTGCCGGATCGCCAGATGGCGAACAAGTCCCGCGGAAGGCTCGAGGCACGAGAGGTTATTTGAATTGTCTTCGCGGGTTGGCCAGGCGCAACAAGTTGACAGACGCCGTTTCCAGAGATGCGGCGATAAAAACTTTACGGTTTAATGCTACGCGCTACGCTCGCGAACCGCTCGTTGATGTAAACGCGGAATTGGACCGTTCCATTTCGTTTCACCGTTTCGTGTTAATTCGCGAACGTCGGCGAAATTGCACTGATGATGGGAGGATTGATGTTGCAAAAATGGTTTTCGGGCATGGAGTACGCCCGAGTCGGATGTTTCAGGGGCAATTAACGTTCTTGTTTCTGGCTGCAATTATAGTAGTCGAGGTCAATTAGAAGGTCGTTTTTCTTTCTTCGCGGAAGGACGAGGAGTGAATGAAGAGTTTCATTTGAGAATGAGCTGAATTTATCAACAATTCGTTGCTACGAACGATTTCAGATTTCCTTCCTTTACAATTGTTTAAATGTTACTATTGAATTATCATCATTTAGTTTTATGATGACTTATAATGTAAAATATTAAAAGTTATTGCAATCTTCAAGCTCGAGAAAGTGGAATAACTAAATTCTTGATCAAGCTTCAGCCTCATTATTCCAATTCCTATTAAAATATTAAGTGCTATTATTGATATTATTTAAACGGATGAAAATCATTATAAAGGTCGACATCGACATCAACATTATTAAAAATCAGTATCAGATGTCGTCCCTGAAAAATTAATTTCCTCCCGAATCTCGGTTTATCACGCTGTTTTTGTCTACATTGCAGATTCACGAAACGGATCCTCAGATTTGGTAGACATGCCAGCAGGCACTGTTCCTAATTTGGGAGCGGTGGCTGGAGTCGGTGGCGAGGACATGGCATCCTTGTGGGCTTCCTACGCCATGGGACTGAAGAAGACACCGCCACCAGCCTCTGCCGCGACGCCCTCGCGATCCGATCGCGATCGCGAGTCCAGCCCCCCTGGCGGCGAAGGGACAGGCAGCGCTCACGACGAAACTAGCAGCAGCGGTAATAAAGACGACGAGGACGACGACGACGAAGACGCTGACGAGAGGTTGGACCCCAGACATCACGACCCCGAGCGTCAGAAGGCTTTCAACGTAAGTTTCCGTTCAGTGTTGGTTGTCTGGATCTCGATGTCGAGACGGCTCCCAAAATTCGAATTCGAGTTACAAATTTTTGAAAGTCTTAAAGGTCTTTGAAAGTCTTTCGAGAGTCTTGAGAGAACTTTTCAAACTGTCTTGAAACATTTTTTTTTTAGAATTTGCGGGACTGTTAGAAAAATGAAAAGAAATTGAAAATTAAGTATGTTATTTTATATACGTATCCTCAATGTTTTATGTTAACTACATGTCAGAACTTTCAAGATCTTAACTAAGACTTTCTGTTACCCCTTTTCGAAATTCTCAATAGATGTTTGGACATCGAATCCTTTCCGAGCTCGAGGTGTTTCGAATTTTCGCACATATTCGAAATGATTCGAAACGCTTTCGCACTCCGTCATTACTTATGTATCCTACGCCTTCTTTTTTGAACTTTATTTCGTGGGGTGGAGGCGAAACGCAAGGCCGTCGTGACGACGTGATTAATGAAGCAAGGCGAAGTTAAGAGTGGGTTTCACGTCCGCTTCTTCTTCTTCTTTTTTTTTTTTCTTTTTTTTCTTTTTAAATCGAGGGTTGAAGCAAGAATGATGAATTTCGACTCGAGCTTCGAGCTCGAGGTTTAACGACTCCAGTTTTGGCGAAGTTAAGGACAACCAGTGACTGCGATTGAGATTTTGTGGGGAAAGACAAGTCAACATTGAAATGAATGATTTCGCGTTTAGTGGTTGAATTAATAATTCGTAATTTTTCATAGAAATTTGATAAATTTATAACGGTGTACCTTTGAGTGAATGTATAAAACTTGTGTATCCGAGAGAGTGTACGAAATGTTTCAAGTTTAAATACTAAGATATTACATACAAGTTCAAGCACTAACATACAGAATGTACGATTGATATAAAATTGTTTCACCACTTGCTATTACGATCAAACAAAATTTACAGGTATTTAAATAAATGAAACGAATGAAATTTATATTCCTATTAATTATCGAACAATACAAAGAAACAGTATGTAGCAATAATCTCAACACCAGAATTATCCTACTAAATAAATTACTAAACTATTCTACTAAAATATAAAACTTGCCTCGAAGGAATAAAGATTCGCGGAACAGAACGAAGGTAAATAACACAACAATGATAATTTCCGATAAATTAAACTCGCAGCTCAAAGCATCGGCTTTAGACAGCAAAGTTAAGAATACTTGCGATTTTTCTCTAAACACATCAGCCGAACCTTGCGTTGGCAAAAATATTCTCGCCATCATCCCCATCATCAGACCATAATCATAATACACACCTCCATTTACCCAACTCACCATCATCAAAAAGGGTAGGGGGAAAGGAAGGGAGAGAAAAAGGAAGAACCTCCGCGCACGGTGCATCACAGGCAGAGGCGAACGATCGTTTTCGCGTAATTATCCACGCTAAACGTACGAACACCTGAAACTGTAACCCTTCCCAGTAGCAATGTTCGCCGTTACCGTATGCCCCGGCCGCATTAAACCGGAAACGGCGAGTTTATTGCGGCCGGCATTAGCCGGAGCACTGTGTAACCGCGTAAAAAGATAGCAGAGTTGCTTGTTTTCTGCGCGAGGGGTCGAAGAGGGCGGGATGGGGAGGAAAGACGAGCAGAGCTCTGGTGTTCGAAATGAAAGCTAAGCCAGGAACGGTATTGAAGTTGCTTGCGCCGAAAAAAGCCGCAATTATCGTAAAGTTTTATGAAGCAGGCTTGGGCATTAGTTCAGACATTGTATTTTCAGGGATGATGAATTGAACGACGCATCAGTTTGTTCAGCTGATTGTTATTTGAAGTTGTATCGCGAAAGAATTGATTTTTTTTTTTTTTTTTTTGGATTATTTGGTTATGGAATGAAGTAAGCTTTTATTCCTTGTGTTCTTTTTATTCTTTATTGAACGAATTTTTATTCATGTACTTTCCAAGCTTGAGGATCATTCAAATAATATATTTGGAAAACGATGAATTGAGTAACATATTAGGTATTTTATTTTAGTTCATGCTTGTTTAGATATGAAAAATCCATTTTTCTCTAGATTATTTGCCTAACAAATGAAATTCATTCTTTTTGTTTGAACGAATTTTCTCATTTTCTGTGTCTTCTTCTAACCCTCTCATATTAGATTATTCGTTTATTGGTTTATTTAAATAATCGAATTAATTCAAACGGGAAGTTAATTGAATAGGAAAAAGATTTATTATTATTTTCATTAAATAATAATGAATTACAGAAACTCGACTTACATAATTTATCAAGAACTCGCTTCATTCAGTAATCTTTACAACAAGAAATTTATATTCCGCAGAAAAGAGTGGGAAACGTGAGAATTGTTGTTCTTTTAATCTTTCACGACGTAGTCTCCTTGTGATAGTCGCAAAGCCAGTGATTCTATTCACCGGATCAATTGACTTGCGTGTAAAAATAAATTTTCGACTCGTAGAACTCTCGTTTTTTTGACGAATTCGAGTTACAAAAGATAAAAATATCAAACGAATGATTCAAATTAACAAATAATTCGAAGTTTATATTCCTGTGCTGAAGCAAAAAGTGGAAAGATTTTCGACGCCACAATTAAAAAAAAAAATAGAATGAAATTTATTCTTAAATAAAATCCCGAAATTCTAAAAATCTTGTAAATAAAATGTGTCGAAGCCTGGTTCACGGCGGTTCTCTCTTCGAGTCCTCTGGTGCGCCGCGGAACCTGAAATCGAAAGCGAGGCCCGCAGATGGCCTCAAAGCCAGCGGACCCGGCCATCCAAGCGGTTCCTTAATTAATTACAATTAGTTTAATAGAGAGCCTCGCGGTACGCGTCCGCCCCACCATCGTCGGCAATTCTTAATTCCTTGCCGCCGCGTTACCAACAGTTGTACCGGGGCTCGTTTTAATTCATTCGGCGGCGTGGCGTGTCCGCGTCTCACGCGTCTGCTTACAGATGTTCGTCAGGCTGTTCGTCGACGAGAACCTGGACCGCATCGTGCCGATCTCGAAGCAACCGAAGGAGAAGATACAGGCGATCATCGACAGTTGCACCAGGCAGTTCCCAGAGTTCGCCGAGAGGGCCAGGAAGAGGATCAGAACGTACCTGAAAAGCTGTCGAAGGAACAAACGTGGCAGGGAAGGCGCACCCTGGGACGCGGTGAGTGGAAATTTTCGTGTGATTTTTAGCGACGACGACAGGCAGGCTCGAAACTTGCTATTTATCCGCCTGATATTTCCATGCTTCGAGTGTTGAAATGGTGTTGAAATTTTAAAAAGTGAACGAGCGACGACTCCTTCGAGCAGATGAATATTTTTGCTTCGTGAAACTTGAATTAATTGTATATTTAAAAATCAAGGATACTATTGTGACACGATAATTGTAACAATAATCTATTCTTGGATATATGGATATTATACATGTTCATTCATTGTTAGTGATCTTACTGATGAGCGAATGAGAAGAAGGTTTAAAAAACTGGTATTGGTAACAGATAATAGTGAATTATTTTAATTAATTGTATATTTGAAAATCAAAGATACAATTGTGATGATTTTGGTAATGATTTGTTCTTGGATACTATCGCAGTTTCATCGACGAGTCAATGTTGAGATATCAATATATAGAAAGTATCATTCGTTTATGTTCGCTATACTCTGCAATGATATTGATTATAATAACATAAATTCGTTCTTTTTTTATTTACATTAATATATTTTGACGTACTTCAAAATGATAAAATTGTAGAAGAGTGTGAAGATAAAAAAATAATTAATGATCAACCTCCATGCGATCTGAGCATGAAAGTGTAAAATAAAAATGTAATACAGTGAAGTTAATTTTTTAATAATTTCATGTATGTATAACGGAATGCCTGATACGACCGGGCAGGCGATGATTTCGCGTGAAAAAGTATCGAAAAAAGAATTTCACGTGAAAAAATATCGAAAAAAAAATTTCACGCGAAAATAAATCGGAAAAAAAAAAAGATGAAACATTTTCGTTCGAGGTTTTGTTTGTCGAAAAAATCCAGTTTGAAAATTTATCACGTTCGCTTGCATCTGTCTGGCAACGCAGCATCTCGTAAACAGTATTATACTTTAATATAAATAAATAGTTAGAATGTTTATGTTTTTTTCAATAGCACGATAATATCTATGTAACGTTCTATTTCGATTACTTTTAATTAAACGTACTTTAAGTACAGATACCAGTTAGTACACGTGCGTAATCTCTAAAGCAACCAAATTGCATCATTCGTGTTTCACAAAAGCATTAATCTGTACAAAAGCTTCGTTCACAAATATTTGATCAAACGGTAAAATTTATGTCTTACATCACTATGTATGATCGTTTTATATGACACGCGATAGAATTCTCTAATCGATTCAAACGCAAATGAAACACGATCGAAACGTATTCTAATGGAAAAAAGGATGTACTATCTGCAGATTTTTAAGCATTTATAGGAAAATTGAAAACTGTGTAAACGCGTGCGAGATACGTTTACAATTAATTCCGGATGAAACAGATCTCGTTTACGAAGGTACAAACTTGCATAAAAATCCGCAGTCCAATTGCCCAAATGGATTACAGTGAACAAGTCGCAATTGTATCGCTATCATGTCAAAGTTTCACGAGCGAACGATCTCTCGAGTACGTGGATAATTTCGAGTTTAAATATATTCGTCGTGCCGTGAACCAGACGGAAGGTCGTCGAGCAGAAAGCTCGCGAATTCCGCTGGCCTGAGTCAAGTTTTCGAGCTTTTCGGCGCCCGATCACGTGACCAAGGAGATTTCTTTTTAGGCGAGGCCCACACCGGCACACTTGACCTCCGTGCAGGCCGAGCAGATTTTGGCAACGGCCTGCGAAAATGAGAGCGACAACGCGAAACGCATGAGACTCGGTCTGGAGCCCGTCTCACAGCCCATGCCAACTCTTCCGGCCGCAACGGTGAGTAAAATTAGAATGAAAAGAGTTGCACGATCGCGGTGGTTTCTAGTCTCTCTCTCTCTCTCTCT